ATCGAATTGCAAGTTTGTATGTAATATGCGGGTTAATATATAATTGCTATATATAAATTTTTTTTTTTTTTCATGGTGGAAACAAAAAGTCTGAGTTTCAAGATGCAAACTCAGAATTCAGAAAAAAAGTCTGAATCATAATGGGAAAAAGAGTTAGAATTGCTAGATGTAAGCTTAGAATTAGGAGGGGAAAAAGTCAAAATTGCAAGATGTAGGCTCAGAATTATGAAAAAAAAAACATAATTGCGAGACAAAAAAAGAATTGTGAGGAAAAAGTCAGAATTTTGAGTCTATATGTCACGAATCCGGTCCGTGGACTTCTATCCGATCGCCACCAGAGGTCACTCGTCCATCATATTGACTCTCTCACTACACTGACTGTTGCACGTCACCACAGACTACATTTCCCATGCACCATTTCACTAATCACACGCTCACCTGAGACCAATCGCACACACTACATAACACCCACTCAGTTCCTGCTCCGATCACCGAGTATTGTTCTGCGTTTAGCTTGTTTTGCCTGTGCCATACCTGTTTGCTCTTGTTCGACCCTGCCTGTGTTTTTTGACCCCGTCTCTTGTGAATAAAAGCTTGCACATGGATCCGCACGCCTCTCGTCTCGTCAGCCCCGTAACACTATATCTCACATATTGTCAGAAAAAAAAAACTACCTTTTTTTTGACCCATGCTAGAAACAGGCTTCCATAAATATCTGACACTCATCGTGAAATAAATAAATAAAATAAATACTATGAGTATATCTATAATCCTAAATGTAAAATAATTGCTTATAACCATTAAAAATATATTAAAATTCTCATAAAGGATGATATAAAATGCTAAATGAGATCTTAAAATATCTTGAAAATTAGTTTATATATAAAAATCAAAAAATGAAGGACAAAGGTTTTAATATAGACTTAATAAGTTGATTTAAAATTATATTATACCATCATCTGAGCTGTACTGAAATAATTAATCAAAAAAAAAACAGCATTAAATGCAAAAAGCAAAATGGCTACAAAAAGTGAGTGAAAAGAGCAGAGAGGGAAAAATGGCAGTTTATTCTAGATATGGATGACAGTGATATAAAGAAAAGTAATAATAATAAAAAAAAAAGGAAATTAGGATAACATTCCAGGGATTGAGTGAAAATATGAACCCTTATAACCATCCAGATTGCAATCATGTAGAAGTATTAAAAAACGCCTGTGAAAAGTACAGGAGACATTAGCATATTTACAACTTACTCCAACTTAGTTAAAGCTATGTGAAACAACCCTTGTGAAAAGGTGTGAGAAAGCCTGCTGGAATAAAAATGAAATACTTCAAGGAAAACGAAGACGTGGCCAGCAGAAAGATTCCCTACACAAGACAAATGAGTTATAGCTTTATTCATCATTTCAGCTGCTTCTTCTGTGGCTTTTGTATGGATCATTATGTTCTTGGGGAATGAAAGATAGAGCGGTGAATAGACTGAGAGGTTGGGAAAGGCAGACAGTTTCTTTCAAAGCGCTTGAGAGAACAAAAAGGGGCTACAGAAGCATAATTATGACATCACATCTATTGAAGCGGACGAGGCGGTATCTCGTTCAGCGGGTCAGAGCCAGTTCCGTCTCGCTCTGCATATATTTCCATCTTCTAAAGCCTATATTACTTAAGTCTTTACACACTCTGGCCATGGGGAAAGCCTTGATCTATTATACAAGGTGCTTTTGATTGCATTTAGTCCTTTTTTACAATGAGTGTTATTGGACGGACGATATGAAATGGATCTGTCGTAGATAGAAACTCGATCCGGTGTGTGAAATGACTGACATAACCGGGCGCATGATAACAGTTGTTATGCAATGTGAAGTTAATGTATTGTGTCTCGTTTCGCATTCACAGGCAGACCTGGGATGTTTCAACACTCTTCCAGATTGTTTTAACAGGTTTTGTATTTTTATGACCTTCAAAAGCACATGAGGAGTTCACAGGTGCATCGGCGCGATAGATTTGAGCGGGTGAAAGCGAGAGATGCGAGACTCATTAAGATGTTGTCACGCTACGTGAGAGCTTCGTGCGAGCCTTTGACGGCACCGAGATTTAATCTGCACTCACCTCCCTCTTATCCAGATGGGTTTCTCTTATTTTTTCAACTCGCAGGTCTGTGAATTGCCATCTGTTTATCAGCAGTAAATAAGTTCTGAGTCATTCGTCAGTGACAGCCGTCCCAGCCGATCTCAGCCACCGGAAGCACTGCGCTTCATGTTCAAAAAAATACTTCAGCATAATATGTCTGATGAGGTGTAAAGCTTGACCGTTGGTGTTATTAAACAGTGCACATCAGTAACTTTCATCTCCATTTCTTAGCTTTTCTTATTCTACATCCTGTCAATTACAAGCAGTTTGTGTTGAATCACATCAACAATGTAGTTCAGAAGTGTGATGAGTGTTCTGATGTTTGAGATTGTTAATTGCAGTTTTACTTGCAGGCAATTCTCAATAAAATAAAAATAAATAAAAACACACTGAAGGCCTAAATTTGGTCAGTTCAGTCATTTGGCAACTTGTGAACATTGATTTTAACCTGAGAGTGTCATTCTAAACTTGTGTGAATCTGTCTATTCTATTCTATTCTATTCTATTCTATTCTATTCTATTCTATTCCTAGGTCAGGGTCTTAGAAGACCTTTCTTGTTTGAATGGTTATTTTCGTGTCATTGAGACACAATTAGTTGCTTAATATTTTAAATCAGTTTTTATTTTTGTTTTAATTTTAATTTTAGTTAAATCCAATTGGTATTTTATTGTTATTTTTATTATTATCTTTAATAGTATTATTTAAAATAATATATATAATAATTGTTATACGTTTATTTTATTTCAGGTAACATTTATTTTATTTCTGTTGTTGTTGTTTATGGTTTTACTTTTAGTTAACTATAATAACCTTGGTATGAAAACAGTTTTCCATATTCATCGGATCATTCGGTTTCTTTAAATACCACACCTCAAGTCGAAATTACGAGAATAAAGTCAAAGTCAAAATTCCCCATTTTTAGTTTTAAGTCACTTTTTCCCCCTCCAAAAACTGCAATGTACTGTGATTTTTTACTTTATTAATTGCAGCTTTGTTGGAATGACATACTTCTGAGCCACTATTTGAAGCCTGAGATAGCAAGAGTAATTTATACAGAGAGGCAATGCACTATGGGTAAATGACTGCAGCACTGGCCTCCTGGGCTTTATGTGAAACAGATGGATGAGTTTTATTAAGCATGTGGTACTTAACGCTGCACTGAGTGGGATTTCAATAAAGGAAATAAATGTTAGCATTAACAGCACCTCCCTGTGTAATGTGCCATCATGGCTTTCCAGTAGGGTTGACTTATTTTAACAAATGCTTGTTGTCTTGGATTTATGAATATTGGGCTTTTGGTCTGGAGAAGGTTTATTTCCCATATGATGAGTAGGTGGTGTTTGATAGAGATAAAACGGTTTCAGCCAGTCTGAAAATTAGTTTTGATGCATTTATACCTTTTCCTCTGTGTCAGAAAAACCAGGTGTCTATGTAACACTTATGTGCCCATTTCTTTAGCTTATGTATTATTCATGCAGTGAATGCATGGTATTTCTCCTGAAATATCTCTGAAATAACCTTGGCTTCTCTTAAAACTAAATTTCAGGAATTTGTGTTTGTTCGCTGTCTTTCACAATCTCTAAAGAAAACTACTGTATATAATATAAGTAAACTTTATAAGGAAAGCACATCTTGAATAAAAATGCTGACAATGATTTCTGGTATATGTCTTTCACCTGACAACTTAAATACTTAAATATTCTTAAATATAGCATTTTCAGGGAATTTGAGAAAATAAACTTGTTTCTTTTCACACTCTCTATAATTAATGTAGTTTTGTATAAGTAAGTAAATAAATGAATAAATAAATAAAATGGTTCATCTGACATTTTAAATATTTAAACAATGGAATTTGTCTTTCAAAAGCTAATTTCACAGCTAGTATTTTATGTTTACAAAATACACACAATTAAATGTTTTTTGAACAATTACAGCTTGATTGGAAATGACTCACAATAGAAATGTTCTGCTCACAACTGATATTTACTTTGACATGGTTTTTAATATGCAATTATTCATAGTTTTGGATCATTTTTTATGTTTGTAATATATTTTAAGATTAAAAGTCTAATCTTATATTTTAAGATTAAAAGATTAAGTATCCAACTATGTGAAGTATCCAAGTCTGTTTTGTAGTGATATTAATATAAATCAGCCCTTGGGATAAATTTCTTTTTTTTTTTTAAATCCCAAAATTGATTGATTAATTGATTGATTTACCTACCAACAAATCCGTCCCTTCTGTCTCACTCTCTCTTTCTTTTTCTCTCACATCTTGACATTCTGGTTAAGGACATGGTCTTGAAGGAAAGGTGATGTGGGCGTTAATTGACATTTACATGTTTTCTTTCAGTATTACCTTTGAAAAGTGACTGAAACTTGACATTTATTTAGACTAGCACCTGTCAAGGAGAGTCAATGCTCTTTCATGAAGCCTTTATCATTGTTTCAGGACCGTCCCCTGAAGAAGGCCTTACACAGGAAGAAGTGTAAATAAACAAAAGGATATTTTAGTCTCATAGATCACCGGTCAATCATGAGCAATAATTAACTTTTTAACCGATTGACTTTAGTGTTTGAAATGTCAATGATGAACTGCGAGACTCTTTTGAGGTGACGCCATGACTTCAATACAATGATTGGCGGATTAGATCTTAATTACTCCATTTTACCAGTTAATTTACAACGTAACCGCTCATTAAAAGTATGTGACGCTTTTCAGTGCATATTGACAGCGTCTAACCAGCACTAAAGCAGTCGTGGAACAATTACTTGTTCTTCAGTTAAGCCACTTAAGCTCTTATCACGACTGTACTCCCTCTATCCTGAAGTTCTACTGACTGTTCCCAACCATGTTCTTATGTGTCCACAGACTCTTCCAACCACGCAGTATGAGCTAGAGATTGTGGCGAAGGACATGGCAGGAAGTGATGTGGGACTGACAGGAACCGCAACAGCCACCATCACCATCACAGACAGGAATGACCACGCACCCGAGTTTACACACTCACTGGTAGGAGGAACCTTTTTTCTTTCTTCCTTTCTTTCTGAATGTTATTCATTGACTATACGTGACCTGCTCCATATTTTCAGTCGTTGTGACCCAGAAACACATTGAGTTTTATTCACTGAATGAAAAAGTGTCAGCTTTCTAATAATAGTTGTTACGTTTCTACTCCAAATTGGATATGAAGAGTTCATTTGCAAAAACCGATAAACGCCACTTTCAAAAAAATGAGCTGATTGCCGTGCATTATTCTCCACATATAGCGCAATCTGAACCCTAAACACGTTTTGTCAAAAAAGCCGGTTTTGTCCACTTTCAAGGCATCGCGAGTTCACGTTTTACTGCAGAAGCCGACAAGCGCCCTTGTTGTTTTTGAACAGAAGCCGATAAGTCCATTTTAGCGAATCAGCGCGCTGTATTCAGGTCAGGTGACAAGGCTACTTTCACTTCGAAAAGTTGTGCTTGCTGAGAGGAGTTTCGTCAAAGCTGACTAAAAGTGATCAAGGATGGACAATTTCGACGAACTTGATAAACCTGTGATATCTTCTTCAGGGCGAAAAAGGAAAATAAAATCTGAAACGTTTTCACGGAACCTTGCAAAAGCAGCGCGTTACAATGGTGAGGGAAAAGCTCCGTGTATTGCGTGTAATCACATCAATACAGTTTATGATCACAACAACAACAACATTTGTCAGGCATCTACATTGTCATCTGAGGAGATTACAAAGATTAAACGAGTGTTTTTCTTAAACTCTAAAACATGAAATGTGGAGTTATCTGCTTTTGCCAAAAAACGACTGTTGGAGTTATTTGCTTTTGCTATAAAACAAACTTTTAATATGTAAAAAAAAAAACATACTTTCAATGAACTTACAAAAATAATTTTGTAAATTACCTGTATTTGTTTAAGTTATTATTACTTAATCAAAACAACCTAACTGCAGTTTGATTGATATTACTTGGAATGCGCAATAAAAAACTTGATTTCTGGAAAAAAAAATGGAGTTATCGGTTTTTGCAAATGAACTCTTCATATAATAATTTAAATGACTGTCATAAACTTGTTTTTGAAAAAATGGCAACTAAATATTTCAAACAATTGTCTGACTATTTTTAGACGAAATTATAAGATTTATTTAAACAAAAATGTATTGCAAAAAAGTATCTTATGCTTACAAAGGCTGCATATATTTATTTAAAAATACAGTAAAAACAGTAATATTTAGAAACATTACAATTTAAAATAACTATTTGATTTTAACATATTTTAAAAATGATTTCTATTGTGGCAAAGCAGCCATTATTCCAGTCTTCAGTGTCACATGGCGCCGTACTGATTTGGTGCTCAAGAAATATATATATATGTTTTATTATTATTGTCTATGTTGAAAACAGTTGTTATACTTAATATTTTGATTAGATAAGAGAAGAGCATATATATTTTTCTCCACAAATGGCTCATTGCAACTTCTCAAAATAATAAAGCATGTCACATATATCCATTGACGCTTTAGCATTGCAGAAATGCTCTATTGACTAAACAGCATCCATGATTAAATCACTATCATTTTTATAACTGAACAATCAACCCTATGAACAGCTGACTATTCTACTACAGTCACTTTCTTTTGAAATGATTTATAGTGGTTTGAAGCAGCTTTAACACCTGCAGTCCTTTACCATGAGGACAAACACTCTAACTTCTCAGTCCAGAAGGCCTTCACCAATCATTTCCAATTGTCAATCACTCAAATCACGTGTATACACACAGAAGCCCTCCCTGCTCAGCCAGGGCCTCAGCTTTTCACTCAGATACACTGACCTTGTGAGCAAAAGCCCTGTGCATCAATCACTCTAATCTCAGGTGCGCTGAGAAACAGCTGTGATTCACAAATACTCACACACAAAGGTGATGGACTGGGTCCCTCTCGATCGCTTATCCTCCGCTAACCTCCTGTTTGTGGTTTGCAGTGATTGTGTGACAATAATCCGGGCCTCCCCTGGCAATGATGGTCTGTCCATGGACGGAGTGTATTGTTTGTGCGTGTATTGTTGTTGTAATCATTAGTATTGCTGGAGTTTTTTTAGCTGCACATTATAGCTATAGGCTATAAAATACACATTAGTCTTCTGCTAAACAATCACAAAAAGAGGCCACCGCTGCCATTCAGCAGTCTGAAACCCAGAGGGCAAGAAAACTGCATTTATGCTATGTGCAAACTTAAGCTGCGTGTCCATTTGAGCCCACCTGTGATGAATTTGTCAGAAAATGCTACACTTGCACTTTGCTAGCCAGCGGAGGGAAAACAACTACGCCAGGCTGATGCAGAGACACTTATTTTGAGCTGTATGGTTTTTTAGAGGAAGTGCCCTGGGCTGTTGTCAGATTCCTAGAGATATCACGTCCACCCTCACTTGGCCCATTCCCAGGATGCACTGCTGTGCCAGCAAGAGGGGCTTTCTGACTGGTTGGTGTGGCCACTCATTTGGGTTGCCTATTTAGAGTGGCTTTGACAATTGCTGCTGCCTTGCTTTAGGGTGTTCACTGTAAACACTAACAAGCTCAATATATGGAAAGAATTTGCATAAAAATAATTGCCTTAAAGTAGTTCAGTAATTTCTGTAAAAAAACAATGTGCTCTTCATATTGAACAAACTTCATTAACCATCAACTAGTGGGTCTTATTTATTTATTTATTTAAAATGTTTGTGATAAGTGGAGATCATGATTAGATTAGAAATTGGCTGTTATTAGACAAAACTCTTCTGTGAGCTGTTTAAATGAAAGCCAATGTCCAGATTTTACTGTGTATAACATTCTAAATTTATATAACATTACTTCCTGAACCTGTTTTCATAAAGTAAACATCTTGTTTTATGCAAAGTCATCAGATCTGCATAGAGGAAATTGATTTTAAATTAACTAAGGTTCACCATCAACACCAATCACCATAATGGTGACTTATGAAATGCTTATTTACGATAAAACAATATCAACAACATAAATAGAGCTACTACTTTAGATAGTGACATGTATGTGAACATTTCTAAGAGTATCTGTATTTGTATCTATATTCTCATGTCACTTTACCCTGCTCCTTAACGACAAGTGTGTTTGTGTTCAGTATGTTTTTAACAAGCACTTTCCATGATACATTTTCTCCATTTACCAGTCTGACAGGGTCTGAGTCGACTGCAGCACCTCCTCTTTGCACACGCTTGAAAACACTCTTGACTGTGCTGTAAAATTCTGCAGTAGGAAAGCCCGCTGTCTCCTCACAGGTGATATTTGAGTGCATGTCTCTGTTTTTGGCATAAGTCCACCCTTCGGGACTAGAGAGCTGAGGTAGTGGATCAGCAGAATATCCCCTCCTCCTCCTCTTAGACTGCTGTATCTGACAGACCTCAGTAAATATTCATGAAAAACACCTTTGAAAGTGCATTTTGAAATTTCAGTCCTTTTGAAAAATGCCTACGCTTGTTTGCTGGTATTAGCCAACTGGCTTTCCGGCTAAACCACCCAAGCACCGGCTTGACCAATCTGGGGTCAACCTCAGGATTTAAATGGATAGTTCAGGCAAAAATGAAAAATCAATCACCATTTACTCACTCTCATGCCATTCAAACCTGTATGACTTCCTTTATTCTGTAGAATGCAGAAGAAATTTTGAGAAATTGCATGTTACTTTCAGAGACTAAACAAAGTAAATTCCACCCCACAAATTCCTGAAAATCAGCATTAAAATAAATAAATAATATACTAAATACATTTGGCTTTTTATACAGCACACACTGCTTCACCATTTATCATTCTGTGATAATGCCTAGTGACTATTACTTGCCCCTGAAGTGAGATAATGTACTTCCTTATCTCCCACTATTTTTGCAAGAAAGCAAAAAACTCAAAATTATCAGAAACTCTAAATCTGTTCTTTTTAAATACAATTTCGAGAGAAAATGAGAGTAGAAAAACATGCCACCTTCTCACATTTCCTCGATTTTTCTTAATTAGCAGATGTTTCACTTCATACATAATCACAGGCTGGCATGTAGTCTTCCTCAGACAGATTTCAAGTATATGATCATTGCCACAGTTTATCATTTTTAGGTGGACCCATCTGGTCATTTATTCTCATTAGCTGGTCTAGTTCAATGGATGCATTTAAATTCAGTGGTGTTGTAAACAGGATCACTTATAGAAAACTGTTTCTATCTCTGCTCCAAAGTGAGACCCCATATTAGTTCACTCTATTGTAAAACCAATACAACTCTTAATAAAAACTAACAGGCCTACACAATGAGGCTGTATTATTTATTTGCATCAGCGATACCGCTTCCCAGAGATCTTTTATTTAATATCTGGTTCTTTATGTTGCAAATTGCTCATCACAGTGAAAATCAATTGGAATTTAAACTACCACATTGAGATCATATCCTCAATTGAACCAAGAAGATCAAGGAACGTAAGATCTGCACTTCCTTTTTTTAATGACATGCCGCCTGGGCTAAGGTTTTTTGGTTTTCCGTAGTTCATTTCATGTATTTAGCATCCGGGCTACCATTGAATGTTCGTCTTTTAAAATAAATGTCTGCAGTGTGTGACAAGAGAATTATTGTCTGCCCAGAGATAATTCTAGGCCATGGTCAATGTATGGGGTCACGTAACAGTGTCCCGCAGCGGGAGTATTATTAGGATAATAGCAGACCTATCCATCCTCCCTCTATTATCTCTGTCTCCCTGGGTCCCTCTGACTCATGTTCCCTGTTTCGGGATCTTGGAGCCGTGGAGGGAGAGGCCAGAGGCTGTGCTATTTGCCGCAGGTGGTATGTACATGCCCGCCCTCCCTGGCACTTTGTGATAACTGGCATCTATTTCAGATGAACCCCTTCCAAGTGCTGCAGCAGCCACTGATCCGGCTTATCACGCCTGTCACTCAAGAAAAGTGACAGCTTATCTGAGTTGCCTCTCTCCCCTGCAGTGAAAGCACGCCGCTGCCTCCGTCAAA